GCGCCATAGCCGTGCTCCACACTGGAGAACTGCACAACAACGACAACAACAACAACACATACCTGCGTCAGCGGTACATAACTGGGTGCCATAGCCGTGCTCCACGCGGGCGACCTGCACAACAACAACAACAACGAAGAAGAAAAAGAAGAAGAAGAGGGGCGGAGGCCATACCTGCGTCAGCCGTACTTAACTGGGCACCATAGCTGTGCTCCACACTGGCGACATGCACAACAACAACAACAACTACAACAACAACAACAACAACAACAACAACAACAACAACACATACCTGCGTCAGCGGTACTTGACTGGCGCCATAGCCGTGCTCCACACTGGCGACGTGCACAAGAACAACAACCACGAAGAAGAAGAAGAAGAAGAAGAAGAAGAAGAAGAAGAAGAAGAAGAAGAAGAAGAAGAAGAAGAAGATGATGAAGAAGCAGAAGAAGAAGAAGAAGAAGAAGAAGAAGAAGAAGAAGAAGAAGAAGAAGAAGAAGAAGAAGAAGAAGGGCGGAGGCCATACCTGCTTCAGCGGTTCTTAACTGGGCGCCATAGCCGTGCTCCACACTGGCGAACTACACAACAACGACAACAACAACAGCACATACCTGCGTCAGCGGTACATAACTGGGCGCCAGAGCGGTGCTACACACTGGCGACCTGCACAACAACAACAACTAGAACGAAGAAAAAGAAGAAGAAGAAGAAGAAGAGGGGCGGAGGCCATACCTGCGTCTGCGGTACTTAACTGGGCGCCATAGCCGTGCTCCACACTGGCGACCTGCGCACCAACAACCACAACAACACATACCTGCGTCAGTGGTACTTAACTGGGCACCATAGTCGTGCTCCACACTGACGACCTGCACCACAACAACAACAACAACAACAACAACAACAACAGCAACCACAAGAAGAAGAAAAAGAAGAAGAAAAAGAAGAAGAAGAAGAGGGGCGGAGGCCATACCTGCATCAGTGGTACTTACCTGGGCGCATAGCCGTGCTCCACTCTGGTACCTGGGCGCCATTGCCGTGCTCCACGCTGTCGACCTGCACAACAACAACAACAACAACAGCAACAACCACAAAAACAACCACAACAACAACCTGAACGACAACCACAACCACAACCAGAAGAAGAAGGGGAAGGGGAAGGAGAAGGGGAAGGGGAAGGGGAATGGGAAGGGGAAGAAGAAGGAGGAGGAGGAGGAGGAGAAGGAGAAGAAGAAGAGGGGCGGAGGCCATACCTGCGTCAGCGGTACTTACCTGGGCGCCATAGC